TTGCAATTGTGATAAATGATTATCACATCGCCTATTCTAATCAATGCTTGTTAGTTGTAAATTAGGCAAATACATAAGTGTCATTGAATGCATAAAACTACCAAAGACACTTACAACTTTTCCTATATGTTGAACTATATACCACCACTTCTCTTCATCGTCTTCTATGGATCCATTTAGTTACCTTGCTAATTTCATGGATCTTTTAAATAGCCAACAAGAACCCCAAATCCATGAGAGTTTACCCCTTCTATGGGACTTGGATCATCACAAGTCCCACGGTTTGATACCCAAATGAGTGAGGATCCTGAGCAACTTGAAGAGAGACATGAGGGGCGTAGAGAAAGACGCAAATAGACTCCAATTGAAGACATTGTGCTAGGCAGCTCGTGGTTAAACACAAGCAAGGATGATGTTGTGTGAAATGAGTAAAAAGCATCAGCGTTTTGGAAACGCATTGCTGCTTATTTTAACGCATCGCCTAAGCTTGCTGGTTTTCAAAAGCGAGAGGCCAGCTGCTGTGTGCAAAGGTGGCACAAGATAAATGACTATGTCTGCAAATTCGTGGGCTGCTATGAGGCAGAAAACTAGTGGGTACAATGACACTGATGTTTTAAAGGTCGTTTACGAAATCTTCTTGCAGGATTACAAAGTGAAGTTCAACCTTGAGCATGCATGGATAGAGCTTTGCAATTATCAGAAGTTGTGTGACTCTTCAACTTGCAAAGGTGAGGGAAGTTAAAAAAAAAAAAAGGAAGCTTGATGTTCAATCTGCAAGCTCACACACAATTATGCAACCATAGGATGAACCAATGGCTCGTCCTGAGGGTATGAAGGCAATTAAGCCAAAGGCAAAAGAAGTGTGAGCAATTCAGGTAAAGTGGAAAGCGAATCCACTTCTCTGTTGGAGATTTAGAGCATGTGGACTATCAAGGAGAAGGACTTAGCTATGAGATAATGTCCATGGTGGGACTGCTGAAAAGTCTCATAGCAGAAAAAAAGAACCACTTTCAGAGATGGAAGTGACTCTGAAGAATAAGCTAATAACGGACATGTGATATATCGTGGTTTTTATGGTTTTTAACCATGGTATACGTCCTTTTTTATTGAGTCTTTTTGATCTTTTTATAGTCCTAGAAGAGTCTTTGCAGGTTATAGCATGTCTGGAGCACAATTGGAGGTTTTGGAGCTTTTGGATCATTGCAAGAATCAAACCCGAAGTTAGCAACTCAGAAGTTGTTACATGGCATTGGTGACGATCGTCACCACTCAAGGGTGACATCTGAAGAGAATCGCGATGTTTATTTAAAAGATGGAGAAGATATTGCACTTTGACCCAGAAGTTCCACTAATTACAAAAGTGGTCCAGCTCGTGTTTTAGCTTGTATGTATTAGGTTTTCAGCCATTGTTGGCTTTTATCTTGTATCTTAGAATTCAGAGAGCTTTAGAGAGAGATTTATTCAGAGTTTTTGGGGAGACAGATCATGTACTCTTTTAAAGAAGATTACGAACCCCTTTATTTTATACTCTATTCTTTTAATGTAGTTTTATTCAGTTATGTTTTGTGTTTTCATAATCATGTCTGAGTAATCTTTTAGTTATGTTAGGATCATTCAAAGGTTGATGGAGAGTTTGTAGAATCGCTAAACTGATAGGAAATTTATTGGTTCTTCATCTGTGCTTGCATTCTTATCGATTTCCTAGACTAATCATCTGGATTTCGAAACCCTAGGTTGTTTAATAGATGTGAGAACATTGTTAATCATCTGTACTAGTATTAGATGAGCAAAATGCCTATTTGCAAAGAGATTTGATTTAGGAGTTTTGTGAACAATTGAACCTGATCATTACTGCATGTTTAGATTGTTAGAATTTTCAAAGAGATTTGAAATTTTGTGATTTAGGCATAGATAACTTATGCAATAAGAATTGATTAGTTATATCATTGTGTTTCAAGTTCTAGACGGTTTTAATTCATTCCTAATTGCATGCATTCTACATTCTCGGATTCAATCTACGAATTGTCCTAACTTAGCGCTTTTAGCTTTCTGAACTTAGATCAATCAACAAATTTCACTTGCTTTCATTTATTTTACTGTTTCGCATTACATATATTACTTACTGCTTAGCTTAATCCGAACGTGAACTCTATAGTGTAGTTTACTTACTCCCTTGGGATTCGATAACTCTTTGTGCTACAACTGCATTGATGTGCACTTGCAGTATACTAAAAGTGGGTAAAACTTAGACCTTATCAATATGCTTTCTAATTAGTGATCTTTGTATTCACATGAGCTTTCAGTTTAAGTCTTCTTGTACTAGATCGGAGATAGTTTAAATGTTGTTTCTGATATATGCTTGTTAGTTTAAGTGTTGGTACTTTCTGTGTAAGAAATACTACTTTCAGTTTCTGAAATGAATGAATCCTTTATTCATCTTTCTTTCTTTTTTTGGTATACCTCGATGGGTACACTTCATGTATACGTATTCACACAAGATAACCCTTGAGACAAGTTTCTTGATTTTTCTCTGAATGTCCGGTTTGTGATTGATCTTTGCAGCTTATGGGCCTGCGGGGTTACAAGAAATGGCTTAACTTTCTCTGCTTGCTCAGTTTAGTGATTCTTTTTTTTTACAAATCAAATCTTTTCCTTTTAAATGTTTTATTTCAATTACAAATTACTTGTGGAACAATCAGGACTCTGTTTCTAGTGGCTGCAAGTGTCGTGAAAGTTTCATGGTGACGGTCAAACATGTGAAGGTGAGACATCTCAAGATTCCTGTCATAACTCTGTTAAATTATCAATTTTAGTCTCCTAAAAACAGAATCATCTGGAAATTCTATAATCTTGTGTTTTGATTTGGCTCTGTTGCAGATATAAACGATCAAGACACTTGTATAGGTATAAAATTATCAGTTGAGACTCATACTTTCATTACAATAATAGTGGAGACACCCGTGACATAATCATTTGTTATGCAGTATTTCTTTAATTCGGAGACATACAACAAAAGACATGTGGAACACAAAGACCACAAAGCAAACACCTGTGACATAATCATTTGTTTTATAAAGTTGTATTATTACACACCCGTGAGAGAATCATTTGTTTTGTAGCTTTGTATTTTTTTTTCTCTTTGTTTTGTAGTTTTGTATTACACACCAGTGAGAGAGTAGTTTGCTATATATATGTCACTCTTGGATTTTCTACAACTCACTTCTTACAAACACATATAATCTCTTTCTCTACTTTCTTACCATAGTGTTCTATATACTTCTTCTTCTTCTATAAACACTGATAATTTCTTGCAAATGGCATCTTCTTCTCATAATTCTTTCGAATTTAATGACCAATTTGAGCAAGCATTCGATGAATCATTCGATAATGTGTTTACTGGTTATGTTCTGCCTACGAATGAAAAGAAAAAAGACAGTATATAGAAAGAGAACGCGAGCAAGGCCATAGCCGCTTATGGAACGATTATTTCTCTGAAGATGCAACATACCCGGCTTCTCTGCACTGAAGTTCCATACTTTCAACAAAGAAGAGATGTTACCGAAGGTTTGGTCTATCCGGACTACAAAAGTGTACAGCAGCTATCCATATTATGGCATATGGTTGTGTGGCTGACAAGGTTGGCGAATATCTCCGGCTCGGTGAAAGTACTGGCAATAATATTTTTGTTAGGGGATGAGTATCTAAGAAGACCCACACCAGATGATCTTCAACGGCTACTCCATGTTGGAAAAGTATGCGGATTTCCCGGGATGATAGGGAGTATCGATTGTATGCATTGGGAGTGGAAGAACTGCCCCACCGCTTGGAAGTGGTAATATACATGTGGAGCTTGAAAACCAACAATTCTTTTAGAGGTTGTAGCTTCACATGATCTATGGAGCATGCGTTTTTTGGACCTCCAAGTACTTTACACGACATCAATGTTCTTGATCGCTCACCAGTATTTGATGATATTTTAGAAGGTCGAGCTCCAGTAGTGAATTACTTCGTCAATGGATGCGAATATCATTTGGCTTACTATCTCACGGATGATATTTATCCAAAATGGATAATTTTTATCCAATCAATTCCAATTCCTCAAGATCCTAAAGCATCATTATTTGCTACAAATTAAGAATCTGTCCGAAAAGATGTCGAGCATGCTTTTGGAGTCTCGCAAGCTCGATTTGTGATTGTCAAAACCCGGCTCTTTTTTTGGGATAAGGTAAAAATTGGAAAAATAATAAGAGCATGTATCATAATTCACAATATGATAGTTGAAGACAAACAAGATGGATACCGTCATTTTAATGTATTAGAATTCAAAGAAGGAGAAAGAAACAGAACTGCACAAGTGGATTATACGTACTCTACCGGTATGCCTACAAATCTCATCAATATGATGGCCAATCGAAATCGAGTCTGTGATCGAATAATACATCAACAATTGAAAGCTGATTTGGTGAAGCATATATAGCAAAATTTTGGTACAAATTAAGATTACAACTGAATATTTCTTTTCGTTTATAATTTGTAAATCTTTATTTTAAATGTTTTTATATGATTTGTATGTTTCAAATTTCTTTAAATGCAATATATTTAAGTTTTTATTAATTATATTTTTTTTACAATAAATAAAATTTATAATATAATTTTTTTTGAGAATCCATTAAGAGTTCTACCAATAGAAATACCAAAAATTAAAATCAAATACAAAGGTTTTTTAAAAAAAAGGGAAAAAAATTTATATTAAATTATGTTTAAGAACTCTAAATATATATCAATGGAGATGGTTTTAAAAGCATAAATCTTCTAATAAATCTTACTTCGAAGTATCTAAACTATCATTTTCGAAATGGTAAAACAAAACACCCATTTTAGATTTTTTTTTTCGTTGAATAAACCTGAATAACAAATAGTTGAAAAAAGAACAATAATCATATCAAACCTATTATAAAAAAGAAAAAGATAAAAAAAATCATTAATCATATCACATCCTCGTGTCATCGACTCATCGTGTGGTAGAGATAGAGAAGTTCTCTTACCTTGTTTTTCTTTTGTTGGCTCCTTTACTCCTTTGACCATAAGAGAAAGAAACGGCTAGGATCTCGCCTACGCAACTGGCGGAGACAAATCGGGACCGTTGAAGAAAGAAAGAAGCGCGTCCAAAAATCTCAGTGTCCCATCTTTGTCCCCTTGCCTCTCACTTGCCCCCTCATGCTCCCGACATCGTCATAATTCCCCATTATCTCTCTTTAACCCTAATTTCAATGGCAAGTTTCCTTATATAAACCTCTCTCTCTCCCTTTCCTTTCCTCAAACCCACAAGCAAACTCCATCGCATTTCAAGGATCTTATCAAGAAGAAGAACAACTACCGAAAGTAGCAGAAAGAAGAAGAAGAAGAAGAGAGTTTGCTTAGTTTGATACAACAAGTAAAGTGAGAGAATATGGCGTATGAGGAAATCATCAACGGGCTTAACCTTAAGGACACAGAGCTTCGTTTGGGATTACCCGGAACAGAAGAAGAAGAACAACAACAACTTCAAGAGGTTTCTTGCGTCAGAAGCAACAAGCGTCAGTTTCATGAGACAACCGATGAACACAACCTAAAAGAAGAATCTTCTCCTCCTGCTAAGTAAGTTGAGATCTGAAGTTCTTTTTTTATTTATTTCCAAGATCCAAATATTTTAACCTTATATAACCATCACAACGGTGTACTGATGATGATTCTTTGTTTGTAAACTTCAGAACACAAATCGTTGGTTGGCCTCCAGTGAGATCAAACCGGAAGAACAACAACAAAAACGTGAGTTATATGAAAGTGAGTATGGACGGAGCTCCTTACCTCCGTAAGATAGATCTCAAGATGTACAAAAACTACAGTGAGCTTCTCAAGGCACTCGAGAACATGTTCAAATTCACAATTGGTGAATATTCCGAGAGAGAAGGATACAAAGGATCTGGATTTGTTCCGACCTATGAGGACAAAGATGGAGATTGGATGCTTGTTGGTGATGTTCCATGGGACATGTTCTCTTCATCTTGCCAAAAACTCAGAATCATGAAACGATCCGAAGCTCCTCCTGCCTCATGATTTCAAACATACAAACCTTTTGATTTTTGGCAAAACTGCATCTCAAAAATTTCTAGCTACTTTATTTAGAAATCTTTTAGATCTGAAAAAGTTTTGTGTAAAGAAAGATATGTACAATAGGAATACAGTTATAGATGTAAAACTAGATTGTTATTTCTGTAAGCTCAATTTTGCTTATATACAAGTTCTTGCTGATTCGAATTCATATCAAATATGCATCCTACCATTTTTATACAAAACCGTCTCAAAATATTTAAAATAATCAAAGTGTTTACACATCAGAATCACAGTATTTAAGGATTTAAAGATATGTAATTTCGTAGTGTTCTATATAATTGCTACCATATGGAAAAATGAAAAATATAATATTTTGATTAAGAAATTGACAATTGTGGGAAATAAAATGGAGTAGCTTTTTTTGTCCTTTTTTAATTTAGATGGCGAGAATCTTTACTCACCCAATCACTTGCTCCACCAATTTGGGATTTGACTTCCGCAAATCACAGCTCCATCTTCAACTTCGTCGCCTTCTCTTCCCCCAAAGTTTCACTCTTTCTCACACTCAATCTTCGTAAGCTCTTCTGCTTCTCTATCGATCTCTGTCTTTCGTGTTTTGTGTTAGCACGAATTGAGAATAATTGATGGTGTTGCTTTGATGGGTATCTCTATTTGACTGTTTTCATTCCGAAAGTTTCATTCTTTGATCGGTTTCTCTATGTTCTGTTCGATCGAATTTGGCGCAAATGATATCTGATTATAATAGTTAGTTTAAAAATTAGAGATTTGCAATCATTAGCTTATCCAACTTTTCAGCTGCAAGAATTGGATTCGCAGATTCGTAGCTATGGATTCTTCTGGAACTAACGCAGCAAAGGAATTACATGTTGGCTTAGACCAAACTATCGAGGAAGAGTTTGTCACACAGTCAAAGCTACTTAAAGAGTTTATAAGTATTCCCAGCATTGACAAAGCTTGGATCTTTAACTCTAATTCTGGTAATGATTTTTACATATTTGACTTTGAAACAAAGGTTCTCACTTTTGATGTAATAGGAGAAGTTTCAAATGTTTCACTGCAGGTCCTCAAGCAATGGTTGCTATGAGTCAAGCAAACCTTTTGGCTAACAAAAGGAGGAAGTTTATGGTATCAGGTCATATCTCAAAAGAAAGTATACAATCTGTGAACTTTCACTGGGCGCCGTTTCCCATTGAGATGACTGGCGCATCGGCTTTTGTCCCGTCTCCATCGGGTCTCAAGGTCCTTGTGATTCGAAACCCTGAAAACGATTCTCCTACAAAGTTTGAGATTTGGAGTTCGTCTCAGCTAGAGAAGGAGTTCCATATTCCACAGAAAGTTCATGGCTCTGTATATGTTGATGGATGGTAATGGTACCTTTACTTTGTTAGCTGATTTTTTAAAAAGGCAAGCTCTTGGAGAATTAGGTAAATGAGTGAGTTCTTGTGTTATGATACAGGTTTGAAGGGATATCTTGGAACTCAGATGAGACTCGTGTAGCTTATGTAGCCGAGGAACCATCTCGTCCCAAGCCTACATTTGACCATCTAGGTTATTACAAGAAAGACAACTCCTTGGACAAGGATATTGGAACCTGGAAAGGTCAAGGAGATTGGGAAGAGGAATGGGGAGAGGCTTATGCCGGGAAAAAGCAGCCTGCGTTGTTTGTTATTGATGTTGACAGGTTTTCATCAATCTCTCCATATGAAAAAAGAACAATGTATTCTTTAACATTTTCTTGATTGTTGTTGTATCTCTTTTTCTGTTTAACAGTGGAGATGTTGAGCAAATCAAAGGAGTTCCAAGATCGATAAGTGTTGGACAAGTCGTTTGGAGTCCAAACAGTAAAGGCTCAGCGCAGTATTTGGTTTTTGCCGGATGGTTAGGAGATAAAAGAAAGTTTGGTATTAAGTACTGCTACAACAGACCATGTGCTGTATACGCAATTAAGTTCAGAGGCGCTTCATCAGAACCAAAGTGAGTTTTGTGGCTTCTATAACTCACTAGAAGACAGCTTGATCATTCCTAATTTACGAAATTTATCTTATAGAGTTTGTGTTTACTTGTGTTCCAGAGATGATGATAACGAAGCAGTTCCTATTCACAATTTGACTAAGAGCATAAGCAGCGGTTTTTGCCCTCGGTTCAGGTTCGCATCTTATCTTATGAATTGTTTTCACTTGTTATTTGAATATATGTATTTACTAGAAGCATTTGTTCTCCTTGTTACTCTGTTTAACATGACTAAAAGCATTTTCTCTCTTGATGTGCAATGTTCATTTAAGCTATTATCTCATATTTTTGTCCTTCTCTCACAGCAAAGATGGCAAGTATCTTCTGTTTTTATCCGCAAAGACCGCTGTTGATTCCGGGGCGCATGGGGCAACCGAGTCACTTCACAGGATTGACTGGCCAAGTGATGGGAAGCTTCCTGAATCAACAAATATCGTCGATGTGGTGAGATTATACAGATCATTTTCTGTTTTTAATATCCCTATAGAAGCTTCAAACTTTCTATACAAACAAGTTTGATAATTTACAAATATATCTTATAATGCAGATTGAAGCTGTGAATTGTCCTGACGACGGTTGCTTCCCTGGGCTGTATGTTACCGGCCTTCTGAGTGATCCGTGGCTATCAGATGGAAACACTCTTATGTTGTCTTCCTACTGGCGCAGTTGCCGAGCAATACTCAGCGTAAATTTGCTAAGGTGACTGATGAATAGCTATGAAAAGTTTCCAAATTTCCTCCTGCTGCTACACTAACTGATGAACATAGTCTTGAGTGAATTACAGCGGGGAAATATTGCGTGTCAGCCCTAGTGATTCAGATCATTCGTGGAACGTTCTTGCTCTGGATGGTGATGATATTATTGCCGGTAACATCTTTGAGCAAGCTTTTAAGCGCTGTTACTAGCCGTGACAATGTCTAGCAGACTTGAAACAACTTTGTATTTTCTTGTTTCTGAGTAGTGTCTAGCAGTCCAGTGAGTGTTCCTGAGATTACGTACGGAACAAAAGTTCTTGATCCAGCTGGGAAGCCTTCATGGCTGTGGTCGAATATCCAAAAGCCAATATATAAATGCTCAGAGAAGGTAAATCATATTTTGCTATATCCTCTTGCTCAAATGATGTCAAGCTTTTTTTTCCTTATTCATGTTTTTGTTTTAAACCGCGGCAGGTAACGTCAGGGCTCTCATCTCTTCAGTTTAAAATTCTAAAAGTGCCAATCAGTAATGCTTCTGAATGTCTTACCGAAGGTACTTTAACATATATCTTGTTCGTTGTTTGCATTCTTCGTTTATAAAGTTTTGACTTTTTATCATATGATCAATCATTACATGGCAGGGGCTAAAAAGCCTATTGAAGCTATATATGTATCATCGTCAAAGTCCAAGGAGAATGGGAAATGTGATCCTTTAGTTGCTGTTATCCATGGAGGTCCTCACACGGTTGCACCATGCAGCTTCTCCAGGGAGTTGTCCTATCTCTCCTCCATTGGGAACAGTCTTCTGATTGTTAATTACAGGTTTACTTTCAAGTTTACAGCTCTAAGTTCCAATAGCTCATCAACCTCTAGGAAATCCTAATTTGTTTTTTTTGGTGAATCATTTGAATTGAAGGGGTTCGGTGGGATTTGGGGAAGATGCTTTGCAGTCTCTGCCTGGAAAAGTTGGATCACAGGTACTTTTTATATGCTTCTGTAATGTCAAATTTCTCTTCCTTCTGATCTTCAATCTGCTAAAGTTATAAGCTTCTCTGAACACAGGACGTGAACGATGTTCTCTCGGCTGTAGATCATGCCATTGAAATGGGACTCGCAGACCCGTCTAGAATCACCGTGCTAGGTGGTTCACATGGTGGGTTTCTGACCACTCACTTGATTGGCCAGGTACTGCAATCACTTCCTCATTATCAGTCACAAGATTAGAAATCATCATCCTTATACCGGAATGTTTCTGTAGGCGCCGGATAAATTTGTGGCAGCAGCTGCGAGGAATCCTGTATGCAACATAGCATCAATGGTTGGGATTACAGATATACCTGATTGGTGTTACTTTGAAACCTATGGAGACCAGACTCACTATACAGAAGCTCCCTCACCGGAAGATATGTCTCGCTTTCACCAGATGTCTCCTATAGCACACGTCTCAAAGGTCAAAGCCACAACATCAATTCTTCAACACGTTTGAAGACATTTACTGATTCTTCTCTTATGTTTTGATGCTGCAGGTGAAAACACCCACTTTGTTTCTTCTAGGAGCTCAGGATCTTCGTGTTCCCATTTCAAACGGATTTCAAGTAAGATCAATCTGCAACCTGTTTCAGATTTGCAGACTCAAAGGTCATAAGTAATGTTGTTTGATCTGGTGTTCTTGATTTGTATAGTACGTGAGAGCCATGAAGGAGAAAGGTGTTGAAGTTAAAGTTTTAGTCTTTCCCAATGACAATCATCCCTTAGACAGGTAAAAAATAAAAAAAGCTGCCATTTTTGTTGTTGTTGTTGTTGTCCATGAGCTAAAGCATCTCTGATTTGGTTTTGTTTTGGCGTCTTGTGATTGTTTATGCAGACCACAGACGGATTATGAAAGCTTTCTCAACATTGCTATCTGGTTCAACAAGTACTGCAACAAGGCTGTGAACAACTGATTTTTCTCATCTAAGTTTGTTTTCTTGTTAAGTGAAGTGAAAATAAAAGAACTTTTGAAAGGATAATCATTTGGTTCACTGTGTTTATATATAATGATCTTCGATTGCTTGCAACGAAGATGCTAGTTCCGGTTTCAACTTTAGAGTAAGGGTTTCTTCAGTTCATATCATGAACTTTTGAAGATAAAATTAGTTTGGGAGGTGCTTCTTGCAATTTGAAAACGTAAGGGTCATAATTGAACTGTTAAAAGACTTGCTTATAATTTCCGCTTCAAAAAATGTATTTCCGTGCTCTGTTTCTCATTTATTTTTGGGCTGCAATGGCAATGCATCTGCGTTGGTGTATTGAACTTTGATTTAACTAAGAAGAGAGCTCAAATCAATTTTTGAAACTTATTGATTTAATTTCTTTAGATTTTCTTCAATTGGTTAAGAAGCTAATAAAAAATAATAATACCATAGTGAAGTTTTAAATAGATATTCTAATTCTAATAATGATAGAAAAATTAATTTTATTCTCAAATTTAAATAAAGGCAATTTTGAAATTATTGTAAAAACAAAATAGTAAATAATAGGCTCGGCGTTTGATATGGGCTGATAGTGCAATTTTTGAAACAGGCCTAGTAAATAGGTTAGTTGAAGCTAAGAATAAACTTCATCACTTCCTCGCCGATCTTATACCGGTAAAGTTACACACTTTTTCCTCTGTTTTCTGTCTCGTTTCCACCTTCTTGTGCTGGCTTTGATTCGTGGGTGGGTCTACAATTTTACTGCTTTTTCGTATGCTCGATGCTCATCCTCCTCCTAGTTCATTGTTTTGGTTTCGTTTCTTTCTGTGGAAACTCAAAAGTTTCTGCTTTTTCGTAGTGCCTTTTTTGGTTCCTACCGTGGGTTCTGTGATTTTCTTCTTTCTTCCCCAGATAACAGCTTCGTGCATGCACCTGAATTACTTGCTTGTTATACAGCAACACAGATTCCCTCCCTATGAACCTGAATTGCGTGTTAGAAATTTTGTTTTGGTAGCTTTTGTCTCTGTTCATGTGTGTTTTCGTTTGGTTGTAGAGTTTCTCCTACACTCTATGCTGCAGGTCTATTGTGCTTTGTTTTGGTTAAATTTCTCTCTTTGAAGCTAAAAAGTTTCCGGTTTCGGATACCTTTCTTTCTGAGTGGTAAAAAGTTGTAATCTTTCTTGGTGCATACACCTACTTACTTGTTATACGGCAACACAAACTCCCCTGAATTGCGTGTTTGAATTTTGTTTTTGTTTGGATTTGCTTGGCCCTGTCTCTTGTCTCTGGTCATGTGGGTTTTAAAAAACTATCTTTTGGTAGTTTCTACGCTCTATGTTGTTCCTGTATCAGCTCTCAATTATATCTCTGTCACTTGTCATTCGCTCTGTTGCTCTTTATATGCCAGTCTCCAGCATCTTTAGGTCATTGTTGAATTTTTGATTTTTTTTTCTGTACGTTGCAGTATCGTCTTTGTAAGATGGCAGATCGAATGACGCGGATTGCTATTGTGAATAATGATCGGTGCAAGCCGAAGAAATGCCGACAGGAGTGCAAGAAGAGCTGCCCTGTTGTCAAGACGGGTACTTTGATGTTACTGCCGTTTTCTCTCTCCCTCTCTCCTTCTCTCTACGAAAACTAGTGCCTTAAACAAGATTTGTTGTTTCTTTGTTTTGGTTTCTCTCTCGCTAGGGAGACTTTGTATCGAGGTGACTTCTACTTCCAAGACTGCTTTCTTATCAGAGGAGCTCTGTATAGGATGTGGCATCTGCGTGAAGGTACGTACGTATTCAAGTGTTGCACGACAGCATTCTGAGTTTAAGACACACATTAATTGAGATTCATGTGTTTACACAATCGCAGAAGTGCCCGTTTGGAGCCATTCAGATTGTCAATCTTCCCAAGGACTTGGAGAAAGATACAATCCACCGCTATAGGGAAAACTCCTTCAAACTGCACAGGTCAGGTTATCAATCTTTTTTTTTGTGTGTTGCCTTGTTGATTCTGTTTGACATTAATTCACTCTGAGAGAGATTATATGTCTCCGCCTTTAGGCTTCCAGTGCCAAGGTCGGGTCAAGTCCTAGGGTTGGTTGGAACTAACGGTATTGGGAAATCAACGGCTCTCAAAATCTTGGCTAATAAACTCAAACCAAATCTCGGCAGATACAATGTAATTTGTAGCCTCTCTCTCAACTTTTACCACTCCTTATGCATCTCTACTGTAACATTGATTCACTAGCTACCATGTTGTGCAGAATCCTCCGGACTGGCAAGAAATTTTGAATCACTTTCGTAGCTCAGAACTTCAAAGCTATTTCACACGTCTCTTAGAAGAGGATCTGACGGTAGGGTTGGAAATTTTGATTCTTGATTCTTGATAATATCTGTTCATTAAGCAGAGTCTAATGCTTCCTCTTGTATGACAGGTCGTCATAAAGCCACAACATGTGGACCAAATAAAAAAGTTTGCTCAAGGTAAGATTGGGATGACGCTTGAGAAGATGGACGAGAGAGGAATGATGGAGGAGATATGTGCTGATATGGAGTTGACTAAGATCCTGGAGCGTGACGTAGCAGACGTATCTGGTGGAGAGCTGCAGAGGTTTGCGATTGCTGCAGTTTTCCTGAAGAAGGCAGTGATATACATGTTTGATGAGCCGTCAAGTTACCTTGATGTGAGGCAAAGACTCAAAGCTGCTCAAGTTATACGTTCGCTCCTCAGGCCTGACAGGTTTGATTTAATCACCATCACTATCACCATCACCATCTCTCTCTCGTTGTTGTTGAAAATAATATGCTCTGCTTACATATATATGGCTTTGCAGCTACGTTATTGTGGTGGAGCATGACCTCAGCGTCCTTGACTATTTGTCGGATTTTGTTTGCTGTCTGTATGGCAAACCGACAGCGTATGGTGTGGTGACACTCCCCTTTTCTGTCAGAGAAGGAATCAACGTGTTCTTGGCTGGGTTTATCCCCACAGAAAACTTGCGTTTCAGGGATGAATCTCTGTCCTTCAAGGTATGTATTTTTTGTTTTTCCCACAAAGAGTAGAGAAGCGGTGGACTGATATGGTAATTGTTGTTTGTTGTTTCTTTCCCAAAGGTATCTGATACTCCACAGGAGAGTGATGGGGAAGTGAAGTCCTATGCAAGATACAATTACCCAAACATGAGTAAGACAGTTAAGGATTTCAAGCTGGAAGTGATGGGAGGAGAGTTCACAGACTCTCAGATTATCGTAATGCTCGGGGAGAATGCTACAGGGAAAACGACCTTCATACGGATGCTGGTAGATTTCTCCTCTTTGCTCTGCTCTCTTTTGGCTGTTAAGACTTGGAACTGAAGTTGTATCCTAATGTTGGCAGGCAGGCGCATTCCCAGATGAAAAGGGGATCCCAGTGTTTAATGTGTCGTACAAACCGCAAGGGATTGATTCGAAGAGCGCGCGTACGGTGAGAGAGTTTCTGCAGGACAAGATTCGTGATGCATATGTGCATCCACAGTTTGCGTCGGATGTAATGAGACCGCTCCAGATTGAGGAGCTGCTGGATCAACAGATGTGCGACCTCTATGGTGGAGAGAAGCAGAGGGTTGCCATAACTCTATGCCTTGGGAAGCCCGCAGACATCTATCTGATCGACGAGCCAAGTGCGCATCTGGACTCGCAGCAGCGGATTACAGCTTCAAAAGTGATTAAGCGGTTTATCCTGCACGCGAAGAAGTCTGCATTTGTTGTGGAGCATGATTTCATAATGGCGACCTATCTCGCAGACCGAGTCATTGTGTACTAAGGCAAGTCAGCAGTTAAGTGCGTTGCTAATTCTCCGCAGTCGCTGCTGAGCGGAATAAATCTCTTTTTATCGGTAATTAGTTCTCAACACTATTTTTTTGTGTCGTAATAATTGTGATCGAGTGGTCTTAACACGTAATAACACATGTTGTTATCTTGCATTTTTTTGCAGCACCTGAACATTACATTCAGACGGGATCCGACTAACTTCAGGCCAAGGATCAACAAATCAGAGTCACTCAAGGACAGAGAGCAAAAGGCTGCAGGGTCATACTACTTCTTAGACGATTGATCTATGGGTAAAGTTTAAGAGAGAAAGAAGCTTATTTACAGACCCAGATTGAGTATCAATAATTACCTGAATTTGTTGGGTAATTTAAAAGACATCATAGGAGTAAGAATGAGATCCTTGCTCTCTTTATCGCTCTAGTATTTTTAGCCAAATTAGAATTTATAGCAAACCTGCTGAAAAGATTAAGAGTTCGAAGATCTTGTAGTGCGAATACAAATCTTTTTTTCCGACCATATTCATGCAAAAGTTGCATATTCTGCTTAACGTTTCAAGATGTAAATCCAAAAGGAAGCGAAACACAGAGACTAAGAATTACTTGATGCACAAGCAACAAAATTTATTGTACTCTTGCGAAAAATAAGTAAGATACTTAAAAAATAGAGAAATTGTAGAGAATGGCCTCAGTTAATACCGAATTTAACTCTTTGTTTCTGACACTTTTTCATCACGTCTGTTCACAATCGTACTCCTATGTTCGCAACTCATTAAGATCTACTATAGTGGACTCTACATTCACATTTTTGATACGGGCCAACAAGATAATTTTTGGTGATGGTCAGTGGTGATGATAGCGTTGTCGGTGGTGGTGGTGATAAAGTCGCCAGTGGTGGTGGTGGTGGCGGTGGTGGTGGTGGTAATGGTGTTGTCGATAGTTGTGGTGTTGGTGATAGCGGGCCGGTAATGGTGAAAGTGATGGCGATGTCGGCGGTGGTGGTGGTGGTGGTGTCGGTGATGGCGATGGTGATGACAGTGTTGGTGGTGGTGGTGGTGGGTATAAGTGGTGGTGGTGGTGGGTGAAAAATGATATCAACATTAACATGATAGTTATCATGCTCACAACGGTTGTATGATAAGTTTTTAATATGATAACATTGTTAACATGATAATTTTGCATAACTTATATAGTTAACAAAATTAACTCTTATTTTCATGAAATAATAGCATCGTTAACACGATAGTTATCATGCTAACTCGATATTTGTACAATGTGCTAATCGAATAAAGTTAACTCCTATTTTTCATGAAATAATAGTAACACTAACCCGATAGTTATGATGTTAACTTGGATATTTATACAATGTGCTAATCGAGTATCATATTAGTTAGCATAGTTAATATAGTTATCATGATATCATATTAGTTAGCACGATAATTTAATTGTTATCTATCAAAACCGCATCAAATAACTATAAGGACAAAATAATCATAATTTCTATATATAATATGTATCAATCTAATTTTTGATTATTTATTCCATTTTCCTAATTTTATTATTATTTAGATCTATTTACTAAATTTTCCCAAAATAGAGAAATTTTCCTACAAAATACCTAACTTACTAAAGCAATTTTTATATAATTTAAAAAGAAAGATACAGTACCAAGATAATTGATTTTTGAGAGACATGCTCACCACCATCACACATAAACTAGATAATTAAACCTGATGTTCAACAACATAACAAATATAGATTAACATATATAACATATACAGAATCTCATGTTCCTTGCCACCTTATCAGCTTCTCCATGTGCAAATCCTTCAAACTGCCCATGAAATGATCACTCATAATTTTAATGACCTGTATATTTCATATCGAAATTAACTTAAAACCGATAATTTCAATTGTAAAAATATTTAATCAATGAAACTATCTCAAATTCAGACCAAACAAAACTGTAAACAGTGACAAAAGGAAAATTGAAAGTGAAATGTCAACTCCATTTGAATTAATTTACGAATATAGATGCTAGTGTGGGAAATTGACGTTAGCAGCGGAAACACATAATTCATATATATAGTAAAAATTAAAACAAAAATTTCAGTATAATTTATTTTGCAGTCGATTGATTAATTGAACAAGAAACATTCCAACTTAATTTCTATTTTCCTATATTAATCATATATATAAATCTATACTAAATAAAAGAAGCTGTTTGAGGCTCCTTAAGCCATCCACATCAGCCAAAATGAAATTCTCTAAAATGTTGCCACATCAACATTTTTTTTTTGCCAACATCAGCATTTTAACTAAATAAAAAATATATGCTCTTCAAATGTATTAACAATATAGATAATTAAGAGTCCATTTCGTTTGCCCCATTAATGATTGTTTACTTTTACATTGCAAACAATTGAGAGTTTCAGATTCTCTCTGAATTCCCAATACTCAGTTTACTTTGTGTTATCGATTTGGCTTCCTCCAACTCCGTTGCCATTTCTTCTTATTAACTGTATAATTATTAGTATCATTCATCAATTTTAAAAGCCAAACTCCTATGATGTCTCCCTTAGCTTACGAAAGCTTATAAAACCTCACCACCAAGTTCTACGTCACGAAAGTTGATACCTTGCAAATACAGAAAAATCTCCGGCTGAAATAGAAACGGTGGAGAAGACACCGCATAATAAGATGGGAGATCTCGGCTCAACAATTGTAAGCTTTATCCTCCAAAATTATGTTACGCGTCTTTGTCCCACTCACAAAAATTCTTGATTTTCATGTATTTTATTATTTTTCTTCACAATTATATCCACTTATTTACAAAGTAAAAGTGTACATAATGTTACTGTCATAGATCAACCACCACCGTTTGTTTCAATTGATCGATTCCAAAATGTTGCCATGCAAAGAACAAAGTATTGGTTTTTTAAAGCTACACATACTACGAGGGAAAAAATATTACTGATACAGTACCAATCATTTATATTTTTAAGATTTCTAGATTTCTTTAACGAATTTTAGTTCATGCACTCACCATTTTACAGTTCTCTTTTAGTTGGGCACTTAAAGCGAAAGCAAAAAAATTAGCACCATTTGTGAACCAAAACTCATTAACTCAAATAAGTACATTGAAACAGCTAAAAGGAAGCAACAATGAACGCAAAGGAAACTCAATCAGAGGGAACAAACCTAGAAACCATAGCTAGCAAGAACAACTCGAAGGGAGAGTTTGCAAAGGAGGTGGGGCATACGCTTTGTTCCTAGAGTTTAAGGATGTAACAGACGGCGAAGAAGATAAGGCGTGTTCATACCAACGACCATATTAAAGCAAGAAAAAACTAGATTTACAGCCATAACAGTAAAACTAACGATAGGAGAAAGAAACGGTTGAAAAGTTGCGGTACGATGAATTAATCGAAACTGCAAATGAAATTCGATTATATCTGAAAATAGCTCCAAGATGTTAGCGAGAAAGGATCCATATCTCATTATGTCGTATGTGAGGAAAAAAAGGAGGAACAAAAAAAAATGAGTTCTCATACAAACGGGTAATACTAATTTTTAAAATATTTAATCTCAGTTATTACTGGATTGACAAGGACAATGTTTATAGGGTCAGCTTGATATGCAAGTTTTGACATCCATCTCAAAATTAGGCTAATATTTTTTTGTTTGCAGTTGTTCGATCGAACATAAAAGAAAGTTAATGATGTTTTTCATATGTCTGATCACCTCTCCAAATAAGCCACTATATGTTACAAAAAAACATCTCTTTTTGGTTCCTTTTAATTTTGGTGGTGCTGAACTTTGCAACGATTATCTTTTGGTGATGCTTAACTTTAAATAGTGGGAATGCTATGGACTGGAGAAGCTCCAAAAGCTTAATCACTTAAGAGACTATGGAGTTTTACTTTAATGCTCTTCAAGGCTTTTTGGTTCCAACTTCAGATGGATGCAAGGCTCTCTCTCCTTATACGATATTACAATTATTCCCTTTTGGTTGTTCATTTTCCCGGAATGTATGTGCCCATAATTTCAGCTGTCATTGCAAACAAATATCATCTTCTAAACTATTCTCTAATAGGTAGTATAGCCATTGATTGATTTGCTTTCTAGATATTCTCCAAAGTGGGTAACAATGGTGTCCAATTCTCTTCAACAAAATCTCTAAACATTCATACTTAATTGTCCTAACTATCAAGGTATGGCTTCCTTATTTTTTCTTCAAAGGTTGGTGATTATGAAAAGCCAAGAATAGTTTGGTCTTTTGAAATTGAAAAAAATTCATTCCCCATCTTATAAATACTATATATATATATATATATATATATATATATATATATAAAATAATGCAATCTTGGATAAGCAACTATGGTATGAATCCAAATTAAGGCAAGATGAAATGATACCTTCAAACCAGGGAGCTCATGGACACAAAAATATAAAAAATACTGAAATATTATTCAGTGTTTGTAAGCAATATGTCTGTCTCACATATGCATTATGGGTATCTCCCCACCAACATGCATTGTTTGGAATCTTTATAAAAAGAAAGTGTCTATCCTTCATGGCAAAATCATCGATTGCTCAACTTTAACTCCTTTGGAAGCTAAGGCAATTGCTTTGCTGATGGCAGTTAAGGAAAATAAAAACTTATCCTATGTTTATGTCAGTTTTGCAGGGACAACAAAATTTTGCATGACACAGTCATTGAAGCCATACACAACATGAGAAGAAATTTCTTGTGTCGCCTTCCTATTGTCACGTAAATGATATCCTACCTTTCTCATCTCCATCATTTACTTTTAGTTTTCTCTATGTACCCGGAACAATGTGATAAATAATATTGATGTTTCAGCTTAGTTGGCTAGAAGTTGTCTTATACCATTTCTTGGAATGTTTTATAATTTTGTTACGTAACTTTGGTCTAATGCAAAATGTAGTAAAAAAAAAACTTTGGTCTAATATTAAGAAAGTAAGAATTGGAAATCTCTTAATATATTTTATGTGTTTGAAAAGTTTAAGGTTTCAATTAACATTTAAATAATTATTTTTATAATATTTGTTGATTAAAAAGAAACTAAATGAGATATGTTGGTAGATTATACTATTTATATATTAACAATTAATTAATTCTGAAGATCTACTATAATAATCATACATTTTTTTTGTTTTGAATTTTTAACAAAAACAAAACAAAACACCATAACCCATATTGGTGATAGAATTAGAAGATAATATATTTTATTGATAATTTATGTGTATTATTCAAATAGTTGCAAACCTAACATACACTAATATAAAATGTGTACAATTCGAATAGTTACGAACCTAACAAAAGAGCTTGACAAAATTTTATAACAAAAGCGACACAGCTAAAATAGTACAACAAAAATGGATCAAATTAATTTATTCAAACTAAAATCAAATGAAAATAAAATAGTTATTTTTTTTCCGACTAAATCCGCGCATCGCGCGGACAATCCCTAGTCATATATATGAA